CAGTTGTTAGTCAAACGTGACCATGCATTATGCCACTTACAATATTTTTTACCCTTAATTTGTTCAGGGCTTAGCAATTTATGTTTATCGCTCAGTTTTATCTGCTTATCCTTATATAGTTTTATCAAATATAAGGTCAGTTTGGGTTACATCGAACGAGAACGTTCTAACCTTTTTGTTTTCATCTTTTATAGGCTCGTCCTTGCCCGATGCTCTAGGCTTAGCCATTATAGGATAAGTATATGCATCTCCTTTGATTAATTCGGCTAAACATACTTCGATTTGATCGTAATATTCGTCATTAATGGTATGAACATCAAAATTTGGGTCTCTATAATAACTCTCATTGTTAGAATTTTTTATTTGCTCTTCTTCTCTTATTAATCGTTTATACCTAATCACGTTTGCGCTCAATTGGAAAAGATAGAAATTCCCTATCTTGGAATTTCTTTTTCAAATCAAGGTTTAGACAACTTTGAGCGATTTTAATAAACTCCGTTTCGAGCAAAGATATGAAACATTTACTTCTTGCTGTCTTGAACTTTTGAAGGAAACCTTCTACCCATTCATTTGGCATTTGATGTAGATTCGCCAAATCGGCCAAAGTAACTTCAGATTCAACCTTGTAAAACTGAGCATGGAACAATTGTTCCAATTGTTGCTATATTTGAACAGAGTTTGTTTGAACAGTTTATTCTAATTGTTGCCATGGAACAAGTTGATAAATCAGGAGAAAGCTACTCCTGTTAATGAACTAGGGAACAACCTCATTTTATGATAGTCGGTCACTTCACCACTTTGTAGCGTGAATCGCCCTATATGTTCTAGAGTTGACACTTTTCCTAAACCAGTGAATAATGGAAATTATGGCACCTTGTACCCTCTAAGCCATGGATATGATTGATTTACCCAATCAGGATATGGCTTCGTGTAAGTAGGCCTAATGACAGGACGTACCCCAAGAGCCATTTGATCCTGTACTATCTCCATGATTTGATTCCTCAACGTGACATGAGATCATATAGAATTCCTACAGGCTGGTTTAACAGTTAATTTGCTTGAGACCTAAAGTTTGGTCCTTGGTTGACAACGAAATTGCCATTATTTGGGCCATTATTACCATTAAACTGAGAATTCAAACCATCATTAAACCGCAGGACGTTCTGTCCATCATTCAGAACATTGTCTCTTATATTTGGATTACCCCCCCAGGTTTGTAATGCCATTACCACCATTCAAATTTTGCGTTCCATTACCCTCCTAGTTTGAAGTAGACGGACAAAAAGGGTGGTTCTAATCCTTGATTTAAGTTCAAACTAGGAGAATTATGTGGTGAATTATGCCCTACAATTATCCTGGTTTGAAAGTAATTTGCAATAGGCATAACTCGCTGACACATTTGGCTTACTAACTTGTTCATTATTTCATTTAATGTATTCAGTTGTTTGGCCATGTTGTCATAATGTACATTCCTACTTTGGGTAAATCTTTCCATATTATGAATATTTCGTAGATTTACCTGTTCAATAACATCCTGTGTGAGTTCCCCAAACAATGCACACATGGTTCGAGAACTCAATTCTGTCATTGGTTCGTAACATCTGTGGCTGCTTTGACTCTGTCCCTCTGTTCGTGGAGAGTTTTGCTGCTCCTCATATCGCTCGATTACAGACTGTCTACTCCCTGACTTGCTGGTTCCTTATCAAAATTTTTATGAGGTATAATGCTTCACTTTTTTGTATCTTCAACACTAAACACCAATGTCCCACATGGCGTGCCAAATTGTTTCGCGCGGATTGTTGCTAACAATTAAAAAAGGGATCAGACGATTGTGTAAGTGACGAATCTCTTGAAACAAAATCCCAAAAATGGGTGCTTTACTGATGAAAGTTACAATTGAAAACAAACAGAATGCCTCGAAGGGGTGCAAGCACACGAGTACTGAAAATGGATAATTAAAATTAATCTAAGAAATTGAAATTACATATTCTCTATTTGAGAATGTTTGATTCATGGTTCTTTTCTATATGTATTCTCTTCCTTTTTATATTCCCTTGATGATTTTTTCGTGACAAACCGCTTGGAAACTAGTTGATTGCTCTATAATTACCCACTTTCTTCATGGTGGCTAACTTGTCTTGGAACTACCGTCTCTAACTGCTGCCATTACTCTTTGTCGTTCAACCGCCTTCAGCCGAGCTCCTTAAATCGTGGAATGTGATATAATTGCTCAATAACTGCTTCAATAACTGCTATTCTAGATAACATAATTTCTTATATTTGCTAAGATGTTGGGTGATTCGAAAGTTTGGGCGAAAACGAGATCATCGCTCTGGGCACTCAATTCGCTCAGATTCTGGGTGTCTTGCAAGCTTGGACGATAATGTTAATGTGTTCGTGGGCTTCCACCACATTCATCAATAATCTTATTTGGGTCTTTATCCTGTATTCCCCAATTGGACTTCACTCTTTGGGCTATTTAAAAGTTGGATTCCGTGCCACGTGTAATTATGGACACCATTATGTACAAAATTATGTACGTGTAGCACTTCCCTTAATGTAAACCCATTGACTTCCAAAATAAGTCATACAATTTAATGCTTATTTTTAAGCAAGTCACTCCAAACATGATCTTGATTTTCCATTATAAAAAGTCAAAACTATTCCATTCATATTCAATTTAATTTTTAAAAAAATTAAATTAATTCAACCAAATGCAACGAAAATGTAAGTGAACTTTGAAAAAAAAAAATGAAGAAGATAAAAATCCGAATGTGACAAGAAATATGAAAATCTTCCTTAAGAGCTCACCTAACTTGTGCATTGTTCCACGTTGGTCACCCAACTCCAATTTATTTCATGTAATAATCTAATTTACGGTCCTCTTTTTCCGTCTTTTAATCGTGATCAACACTAATAATCAGTACCGCTCAACTTTAAAATGCATCGTCTCACACATGTACGACATTAAATAAACATAACACACTCTAAATTTATTAAAAATAAACCGTAATTTAATTTTTGTAATTTTAATGAAATGAAAATAAAATCATCTAATATCGTCAGCATGAGCTAAGGTAAAGAGTCAAAGCCCCGTCTTACCTAAGACTCTTTGCACTTTCCCTCTCTAAACATTTCTCTCTCTATATCTATGCACACTGCTACATACATCGATACGTACACAAACGGACATGTGTCTATAATTCGCTAAATATCGATTCGCCCTCTCAATTTTAATCCTTAGATTTCTCTAATTTCGATTTGAATCTCAATTCCTCTTTTTCATTTCTCAATTGTCTCTCTCTAATTTTTAATTTAAGTTTTACTTGGAAAAACCCTAGCTTTCCCTTTTTTGCTCCAAAGCCCTTTTCTTGAACTCTAGACTAAATGTTTGACACCCCAACTTCACAATCGCAACTCATTGTCTGTACAGATTGGGTAAATCTTGTTCTTTAATTCAGGTATGGTGTGATTGGTTGTGGAATAATCAACTCACTTTGTAATTAATCTTTATTTTGATTTGATTAAGGTGTTTTGCGAGTTTTATTGTAGTTTAAATAAATTTGGGTGTTAGGGGTTTATGGGATTCATTTGATTGAGCTTTTGTTTATTTAAGCCACTGGCGAAATGCAGATTTTAGAGTACATGAAAAAAGAAAGAAAAAGAAAGAAAGGTTTGCCTTTTGGATTCTTCTTTTGATCATCTTAGATGAGATGATCTTTTGAAGTAATTAATGTTCTTGTTTCCTGGCAATCCATAATTTTGGACAGTTTTTTGGGTTTTGCATGTTGGTCTCAGTTAGAAAGAAAGACTTCTGTCATGTAATTATAGTTAAATGTGAACTCAATGGAAATGATTAAAATGTGAATTCAGTTTAAAAAGTGAAAATAATTTTGGCCTTTTTTTTTTTTGCAATGATAGAATATGGTATTGGTAACACGTATTGTCAGTTGGGGAAAAGATTCCATTCTTATGATAAGAATGAAACAGTGCATTTAATCTTTATTATATGATCATGGAATATTAAGGTTGTCATTGTCCATGCAGTGAGGAATGTGGTTTTGTAATTTTATGCAGTAATGGAGCTAGTATTATGTTTACAATTAATGCTTGTTAAAAAAATGTTCCATTCACTCTTCGTGCGAATGAAACATAAATTAGTGTTTATGTTGATTCTTCATTAAAACTGGTTACACGTGGTGATAAAACTGATATTCGTTGCTAAGTCCATTTTCCACTTGTAATTGGATGTCAAGCTTGTTGATTATACACACATTTTTTGAAAGAAAAGATACCTAAAATCAAATTATCCTTGAGATTCTGTATGTTTATTTATGACTCTTTAATTTGGTGTGATCAGGATGATAATGAAGATCTTATAAATCAGTAGTATGGCTTCTGTTTTTATTCTTCCCTTTTGTTTGAATTTGTTTCCAATTGAAGCTTAATTTTTGAGAATGCAGTAATTCGACTTTTATTTCTTTTGTGCTGCTTGAATTTGTTGCCAATTTAAGTTTAATTCTCAATGAGTGTATGGTAATGGAAGAAGTCTATAGTATTAATAAGTCATCATCACATGCTTTTTCACCGTTCTTCAGTCTAAAATGTATCTCTAAGGTATACTGTTATTTTGAAGTCTATACATAATTATTGTATCAAATTCGGTTGTAGAAACATGAGCTTTCTTAAATTTTTTGTTATGCTTGGGATGCTAGCACCAACTGACTTGAATACGTTAACAGTATGTTTTACATCCACTATATGACATGATTTACAAGTACTTGTGACCAAGAATTTATATAGTTTAAACATGTTCTATGATTGTGATGCCTCATGGGCAATGTTCTTATTACTGTTAGATTTACTAAAATTTGTGACCATTTGCTGCCGGTTGATTTGGGTTGTGGCAATTTCTAACAAAACTATCACCACAGATTGACTTGCATATATTTTATCGTGTCTCAATGCTGGAGGCAGCATGCAGATAATAGTTTGGAGAGATGCAAAGGTATCATGCTGCCAGCTGCAATAGTGCAGTTAATAACGGTTCAATTGGTGGGATACCTGCAAGGGATACATCCCGAGCTGAGTCATCTGCTGTTCCGCCACCACCCAACTTCTCTCTAAACTCGAGGTAGCAAGTCTAATAGTCTTGTCATACGCCATGGTTCTTTTTACATGCATGTGCAAATGCTCTTGTGTTTGTAGTGGGTTCATTTGTAGTGGGTTCACAATTTACCACATTGGTTGAACAATTGTCACTTTATTTGGTTTGGCGCCAGAGTTTTAATAGTTATATTGATGTCACCAAGATTTCTTCACTGTGTTATGATATGTGTCTACTCAAGTATTAAAATAGTTCTAGTTCTTAAATTTGAGCTAGCCCTTATTTAAATTTAGATTTTTAGTAGATTTTAATAAAAGTTGATGGAATATTCGGTTAAAAAGTTGGGGATTCCATGAAATGTGTGGTTAAAATTTATTGTTGACTTTGACTTAGATTTTAATTAGCTTTTTTAGCGGAGTCAAATAGGGGCTTAGTTTGTTTTTATTCTTAAACATTTCCCTTTGTCTTCATATTAAAAACTTTCCCTTTCTTCCTAAAAAACAATTTTACCACGAGAAAGGCAAAGCCTTAACAGGGTGAGATTCATATGGCTTATAACCACATTCGGAGAATATGAAATTAGACTTGGAAATCTTTTACATGAGTGTTTAAATTTTTAGGTATCAGGACGTTGCTACTTATTAAATTTGATGTCGAAGTGGTTAATACAAAATGACCACAAAAAGTAGAAAAGAAAACCAAGAGGTTGAATCTTCATTTGTGTTGCGATATCTCATGACCAGTGACCCTACTTATGGGTGTCTGAAAGGTTCTTTTTGGTTCAATTATAGGTGATATTCATTTCCATCTCTCTTTCCGTCTGTCTTTATCTGGCACTCTCTCTTATAGCCAAACAGACATGAGCACTCTGTATATGATATTCATTTCCATCTCTCTGTCCGTCTGTCTCTGTCTGGCACTCTCTCTTATAGCCAAACAGACATGAGCACATGTATATGATCAACGCAGCCACACCAAAATCTCTAAGTGCCGCCCATTCTCTTGATACTTTAACCACCACCACGACACCCCTAGCTGATTTTTCCAAACCCATCAACAACTCATGTTCAAAGATCACTACCTTAACTCGAATGTAGTTATTAATTCGCCTTAGTGCAGTGAGCTTGTAGGATACCTTTGTGTCCAAAATATTTGTGGATGATGTTAACTTACTACATTCTTGTTATAAGTTAGGAAACTAGTTAATTATTATTACTTTTTACAGCAATGATTTACCTTATAAATTCATTTATATTTCTAATAATTAAGGTTGACAATTAGAATACCTTTCGCTGTGGATGTTGTTTTTCTGAATTATGATGATAATTATATACATAATCTGTGATAATGAGTGATTATACTAGCAATATTTTGTGCATGCTTGTGCTCTTTTTTTCTCATTACTAGGATATTTTTGTGTATTCTGAAAAGTGTCTGATTTTCTCTATTTCTCAGTTTCTGTCTCATTCCTTTTTTTCTCACTCTCTCCTCCCCCTTCTCTCTTGCACCTATTGGTTTCTCCCCCTTTCCCACTAAGTACTAGGTGTCTTAACTAGACTCTTTTCGTTATTTCACCCTTAAGCAGTGTGTTAATCTCATTCTTGCAGGCGGTCATCACAACTGACAACATACAAGTTGAGGTGTGATAGAGAATCATTGAATTCCCGGTAATTGATGTTAACCTATAGTTTTTATATTTTATTAACAAAATGCCGAGTTTCTTTTGCACTCTTTTAGAAGAGATCAGTCAAACAACAGTTCTGTATTTCCACTTTTTAATTTTTTTCTCTACTGTAACTATTGGGACAAAGATGGAAAAGCCTAAATTCTTGTAGATTGGTATCATTTGATTGTAATATTGCTTTTATCTCACCTTTAATTGGTAATACTCATTTGCAGACTTGGGCCACCTGACTTTCACCCACAGACTTCAACTAGTTTCGAAGAGACATTTAGCAGGGAATATGTGCAATCTGGTTACAGGGAGACGGTTGAAGGGCTTGAGGTAGTCTAATAGGAATCTGATCAATTTTTTTGTAATATATATATATATATATACACTTCTGGTTATAAATTTCATTTCCATCTTGGACTTGAAATCAGGAAGCTAGAGAGATTTCATTATCGCAAGTTCAGGCTTTCACAAAACCTGTCATTGTCAATTGCAAAGAGGTATGTGATAAATACGAATTGGATGGGATTTTTTTTGTACTCGTCTCAAGTTGCAATGACTTGCAAGTTGTCTTTAGCTTGTGGAAAATATGCTCCCATTATATGGCTGTTGACTCAAATCTCTTTTCCAGGCAATTAAAAAACGTCATAGAGCCATCAACGAGTCTCGTGCTCAAAAGCGCAAGGTGTTTCATTTCTTCCACTTTCCATTTCATATGAGGAAAATCTTTTATGTTTCTTAACATCTTATTTTCCAGAATTGTAAATGGAGCAGTATTTCCTACAACCCAACATGCATTTATTATCATCTTGATATATTTCTAAACCAGCTAGATGGAAATTGCGTTTGAATGAATATTATGAATGTGCAGGCTGGTCAAGTTTATGGAGTTCCCCTTTCTGATACACTGTTAACCAAGCCTGGTATCTTCCCTGAACAAAGACCTTGTGGGGAAGACTCCAGAAAGAAATGGCTTGAGGTTTGTTTTCTCTTTTTGTTAAGCTTAGTGAATTTGCTGTAAGACTTGGGGACATTATTCGTTTATTAGGGGGGTGTTTGACACCCATTTTAGTAGAAAAATGTGTTTTTGAATAATGATTGATGGAAGAATGTGTCGTTAAAAAGTATGGAGAATTTTTAGGTTTATGTGTAATATTATTTTATTGATAGAATGTGTGGTTGAAATGAAGAAAGGGAAAAAGAATGAGAATGAGAAAAAAATGGGTGCCAAACGGGGGCTAGATGATCAAGCACGTTCCACTTATTTGTTACATGAATGTGAATATACAATGCAATTTAACAAGGAACATTCATTTAATATAGTAGATGTTCTTTTTGTTAAAAGATCCTGGAAACTTGAAAGAAGACTTGTGTGTTTCTTTGGATTTTCTAATTTTAATGCGAACTGAAGGAGACATACTATCTTTGATCAGACATGAAATTTGTTTTTCTTTTTTGTTTGATTTACATCGGCTATCAAATGAAGATTGGCTTTATAAGTCTTAGTTGGGGAAGCCATAGATTTTTCACTAAAACCAAGTACCTGTTGGACCTGCCATTTCACGAAATGAGCTAAAAAGTCTCACTAATTATTGAAAGGAGAATGAAAATGTAATTCGCAGTTTCACATTGATATGCAAAACACATGGACTGTGGCATTTGATGTTTTTGTATGGTCAGATTATGGAATGTGCCAGCATAATGAGAAAACCTCGTATTGGAGAAGGATTCTTAGATGCAAGAAAAGTCGAAGAAGACAACCCTGACGGACATGGCTAGTTGGGGATATAGTTAGAAGTTTTAATGGATGAAAGTTCTTTATGTTTGTGGGTTAGACAGACAGTTTCCCTAATTGAGCCAGGAAAGAGATGTGCCGAGCAACCCGATGGACATCTCTCCCTGAATTTTCTTAAAAGAATAAGATAAAAATGACGAATCCTTTCCATATCGGTTTGCGTGATACTCTGATTTTCCGGAGTGCAGACCTCATTTGATGTGTTACCCATAGGTTGATGTGAACTTAGATCTTAGAAGTACTTAATACCTGTCCCACCCTCAAATGGGGAAAAGAAATTTAACATGTATGGAGATACTTTTATATATAGTTCTTTTCCCCTGTATCAGATTACTATGACACATTTGTGCTTCTATTCAGGGTTTATCACAACAACATAAAAGATTACGTTCATTGGCCGACCATGCTCCACATGGTTACCGGAGGAAATCTCTTTTCGAGGTTCTAATCAGAAACAATGTTCCATTATTGAGAGCAGCCTGGTTTATCAAAGTAACCTATCTTAATCAGGTATGGATTCGTTTTCAAGAAAACAAGCACAATGCTTTTCTCAACTGTTGGCCATTCTCAATATTTAGTGGACTATGGTTTAATTGTGCAGGTTCGCCCAGGCTATTCCAGCTCATCGTCAGGGGTGCACGACAAAACTCAGTTTTCGAGGTCAGAGCTGTGCACAAAAGATATTATTGATTACTTGCAGTATCTCTTGGATGAATTTGTTACAAGAAACAATTCTCGTTCAAGTTTTCATCCTCATGACCGGTCATCACAAATGGTTTATGCTGGTTCAATGCTGCAAAAAGGTGATCAATTTTCAGCTGTCAATGATGGAAAGGAGCCTTCTCTGTACTTCAAGTGGTGGTATGTGGTGCGGATTATTCAGTGGCAACATGCTGAAGGATTGCTTACTCCTTCTCTCATTATTGATTGGTTTCTTAATCAACTGCAGGTATTGCTGTTGTATTCCTTTCCTGTATTTCGATTTCTTAGATATAACAGAAACATTGCTACCTAGAATTTGTTTTCATACGACATGTTTTTCTATTGGGTTTTAACATTTGAAATCATGTTCCAGGAAAAAGAATTGCTCAGTGTTCTGCAGTTGCTATTGCCCATCATATATGGTTTTATAGAAACTGTTGTATTATCTCAGACCTATGTGCGTACTCTGGTGGGAATAGCTGTTCGTTTCATCAGAGAACCTTCTCCTGGTGGTTCTGATCTTGTTGATAATTCTCGCCGGGCTTATACCACTACTGCTCTTGTTGAGATGCTTCAATATTTAATTCAGGCCGTACCTGATACTTTTGTTGCTTTAGATTGTTTTCCTCTGCCAACATGTGTGGTGACTAATGTGGTAAATGATGGGAGTTCTTTTTCCAAAATATCTGAGGATGTAAGGAAGAAGGAGGGTGGTCCATTAGAAGTTACTGGTATGCTTAGAGATAAAGTACATGAAATTCAAATTGAGTCATTAGCCATTGATCGTGCTGTTTCATCGATCCAAAAGCGAGCTGAGACTCTTGCAAGAGCAGCCAAACCTGATCATCCTGGTCATAATGTAGCTAAAGCCTCTCAGGTATTGGATAAAGTTCTTGTGCATGGAGATATTAGAGTTGCTTACCAATTACTCTATGAATACCTTTGGGATGGATCTGTTGCTGAATGTTGGATTGCTGAAGTGAGCCCTGGTTTGCGTTCATCTCTTAAGCATATTGGCAGAGTGACTGCATCATTAATTTGCTCCACTTTTTTCATTTGTGAGTGGGCAGCTTGTGATTTTAGAGATTTCCGTACTGTGCGTCCGCATGGCATGCAGTTTACTGGTAGAAAAGACTTTTCTCAGATATACATAGCAATACGGCTTTTAAAACAGAAGATGAGCGATATGCAAAATTTGAGTAGTTTGGAAGGGGAACAGAAAGATTCTTCAGATACTTATGAAAGCCCAAGCCCGTTGCATGATATTATTGTGTGCTGGATTGATCAACATGAAGTGCATAATGGAGAAGGTTTCAAGCGCCTTCAGCTTCTAGTGAGAGAATTTGTACGAGTTGGCATTTTTCATCCCCAGGTGTATGTGAGACAGCTGATAGTTAGTGGGCTCATGGATGGGCATGGGTCTATGGTTGACCTGGAGAAGTGGAAGAGGCATCACAGAATCTTGAAGCAGTTTCCTGGTCCATACATTTTCGATCTTATGGAAGAAGCACAAATTATTGAACCATCAGCAGTTACAGAGGTGATGAATGTTTACTCAAATGAACGTCGGCTAGTGCTTCGTGGTCTCCTGGATCCCAGAAGTTCTGGTAGAAAAATTTCAAATCAGAAATTAAAGCGTCCTCTCCGTTCTGGAGGTGGAAGTTTGGATCAGTGGTCTTTTCATTCAACGTCCAATTTAATGTCCAAACATGTTGATGCTGATAGTGAGATTGAGGAACTAAAGGCTTCAATAACTGTCCTGCTGCAATTTCCAAGTTATATACTGCCAGTGGATACTGGACTTGATGAGTCACAAGGGAGTGCTAAGATGTCTAGTGGGGCTAATAACTGGGCAGATATAAGTGAAGAAACACCTGGATGTGAAGAATGCAGAAGAGTGAAGAGACAAAGATTAAGTGAAGAACGGAGCTTAGACCCGAAGCTAATTCCAGTAGATGAAGAAGAAACATGGTGGGTAAGAAAGGGGATGAAATACATGGAATCTTTTAAGGGAGATCCACCTCCTAAGCCAGCCAAGCAGGGGATAAGGGGTAGGCAAAAAACTGTACAAAAGACTCAAAGCCTTGCACAATTAGCTGCTGCCAGGATTGAGGGTAGCCAGGGAGCATCGACAAGCCATGTATGTGAAAGTAGGATAGGCTGCCCACATCATAGGACTGGGTTCGAAGATGCTACTAAATCAGTGGATGGGATCAGAACTTCACATTCTGTAAATATTATTTCAATTGGAAAACTTATAAAGCAGATGCAGAATGGTGAGAAGAGGAAAGTAACTGTATGGTTAATAGCTGTTGTAAAGCAGCTTGTTGAAGAGGCTGAAAAGACTACTGCCAAGGTTGGCCAATATGGTAGGCCTTTCCCAGCTGTTGATGATCAGAGCTCTGTTCATTGGAAGCTCGGTGAAGATGAACTGTCATCAATTTTGTATTTGATGGATGTTTGTAATGAATTGATTCCAGCAATCAAGTTTCTTCTCTGGTTGTTGCCAAAGGTCCCTAGCAGCCCTGGTTTTAGCTTCCATGGTGGTAGGAATATTCTGATGCTTCCCAGGAATGCAGAGAACCATTCGTGCGAAGTAGGGGAGGCATTTCTTTTATCATCTATCCGAAGGTGCACCCTCAATCTGCACCTTCTTTGATTGTTGCTTGTCTCATTTGCATCCATTGAGTCAATTGCATACCCTTCTCTGTGTGTGTGTGTGCCTTAAAACTTTATTCCTTCAATATCCAAGTCATACTCATTTAATCAACTCTTTGGACGATAAAATGGATATTGGGTGAAAAGACGACTGATCAACAAAACTCTCCATGTGAAAATGAATCTAAGTATTTAACCAATTTTTTTACATTCATATTGGACTGCTTTCTTTGTCAAAAGTAGCCAAGTTTTGAATGCACTTGGTTCTGTCATCTTTAATAACACCGGGCTTTGCCTATATATTTTTCAGTTTAGCTGTCACCTTAGCTACTAACAAATTAACTTTTAGACGTATTTCTTATTTTATGGTTTTACACGTTGCTAAATGATCTTTAAGGATGTTAAATGACTCGGGAAAGTATTTAAAGATTTTGACCTGAAGTTAAAGGTGTGTTTTGCATGGAGATGAAGAGGAGAAAAGGAAGTGGAGAAAATGAAAATTTAGGGGAAAATGGATATTAAATTTTTTACTCCTGGTTTGAATTGCAAAGGAAGTAGAGGAAAATAATTAGAGATCTTACCTTCTAATTTCTCAACTTCCAATCACAATATTTTTGAGCCCATGTCACTTTGTATACTCTTCTCCCATTTTCTCTGTGAACCAAACATAATGTCTAAGCAGAGGGTGATTCTGGAACTACATTTTCGTTTCTGGCTGAGGGGTAGGGAGTAGCAGTTTTTCTAGAAGATGTATAAAGATAACTGCTGGGCTTCTACTTTGCCAGACTTGGTTGGATGGTGTGTCACTCCTCGTATCATCCGTTGTAAGGATATATTAGGCTAGAACTATTCAGTAGCATTTCCTTGAGAACACATGCTGTCATTTTGTTCATGTCCCTGAGGGACAGTACTGAGTCACCATGATTTCAGTTATTTTTCTGGGTTAAGTCAATAATGATGAACAGTGCTTTTACAGTCTACAAGACTTTTCAGGACGTCAACCAATCACTAATCAGATTTGCCTGCTCTTTTGATTACAAGTACAGTTGATGAGTCATCATACATCATGTTACTCATCTATTTATTGCTTTGGTCAGGTATGAAAATATAATTGTTGCAGCTGACCTTATTCCTGAAACCCTGTCTGCCTCAATGCATCGGACAGTCAGTGTCATGGCATCTAAAGGCTGGGTTTCCAGTTCACCAGCCTTAGTTTATGCTCGTTACCTCTTGAAGAAGTATAGCAATGTGGCTAGTGTTATTGAATGGGAAAAGACTTTCAAGTCTACTTGTGATAAGAGACTTAGTTCTGAACTTGAATCTGGCAGATCTGTAGAAGGGGATTACGGCTTTCCCCATGGAGCCCCAGCTGGAGTGGAGGATCTTGATGATTACTTCCGTCAAAAGATAAATGGAGTTAGAGTATCCAGAGTTGGTTTGAGCATGAAAGATATAGTGCAAAGACATGTTGATGAAGCTTTCAATTATATTCATGGCAAAGACAAAAAGCTTTTTGGGCCAGGAATTAATAAAAATCATAGCTTGGAAAAGCGCGATGATGGCTATCATATAGCTCAAAAAATAGTAATTGGATTGATGGAATGCATGAGACAAACTGGCGGTGCTGCTCAGGAAGGTGATCCTTCTTTGGTGTCTTCTGCTATTGCTGCAATTATTAATAATCTTGGACTTGTTATTGCAAAAATTCCTGATTTCACCACAGGCAACCAGTTAAATAGCCCATCCCCTTCTGGCCTATTGCAAATTGCTCGGCGCTTTTTACGCATTCATATCAATTGCCTATGCATATTAAAGCAAGCACTTGGAGAACGTCACAGCCGTGTCTTTGAGGTCGCTTTTGCAACGGAAGCTTCTTCAGCTCTTATGCAAGCTTCTGCCCCAGGAAAGGCTCCACGTAGTCAGTTTCACATGTCTGCCGATTCTCATGATTCTAGTGCAAATTTACAGAATGATATTTTAAACCATTCCACCAAACCAGTTATTGGAAGGCCTGCAAAGATAACAGCAGCTGTTGCTGCACTTGTGATTGGGGCAATTCTTCAGGGAGTTGCTAGCCTGGACAGAATGGTTACTCTCTTTAGATTGAAGGAGGGGCTTGATCTAATTCAGTTTGCAAGGAGTTTGAAATCTGCTGCAAATGGAAATGCACGTTCATTGGGGGTTTTAAAGGTGGATAATTTAATTGAAGTTTCTGTGACCTGGTTTAGGGTGCTTGTGGGAAATTGCAGGACAATCTCCGATGGATTCATTGTGGATCTCCTAGGTGAAGCTTCAATTGTAGCTCTATCTAGAATGCAACGGTCACTATCTTTGAGTTTGGTCTTTCCACCTGCTTATTCCATATTTGCTTTTGTGATATGGAGGCCCTTCATTCTTAATGCTAGCAGTGGACAACGTGAAGATATCCATCAATTGTATCAATCCATGGCATTAGGCATTGGTGATGCCATAAAGCACCTACCTTTTCGTGAAATATGTCTTAGGGACACTCATGGCTTTTATGATCTTGTAGCCGCAGATATTCTTGATTGTGAGTTTGCATCGATAGTAGAATCTGGCACTTCAAACACCAATTTGAAAGCCTCGGCATTTGTCCCTCTCCGTGCTAGACTATTTCTTGATGCCCTCATTGATTGTAGAATGCCACAGCCGATGTTCAAGCAGGACGATGGGAATTGGACATTTGGTCTTGGTGAGTCAAAAAGCCAACGTGCAGAGAATGTGAAAAAGCTTCTGGATAAGCTTGTACATGTTCTAGATACTTTGCAACCTGCTAGATTTCATTGGCAATGGGTTGAGCTTAGACTTATCCTAAATGAACAGGCTATCATTGAAAAGATGGAGAACCTTGATACCTCCTTAATTGAGGCTATAAGATCTCTCTCGCCAAATCCTGATAATATTTCTGAGAATGAAAGCAACTTCATTCAGATTATTCTCACCAGGTTATTAGTTAGGCCTGATGCTGCTCCTTTGTTCTCTGAGGCTGTAAATCTCTTGGGGAGGTCTCTTGAGGATTCAATGCTGTTACAAGCAAAATGGTTGCTCAGAGGGCAGGATGTACTTTATGGAAGGAAATCTATTCGGCAGAAGATTATGAATATTGCTGAGCCCAAAAAGCTGTGTCTGAAGGCCCAACACTGGAAGCCGTGGGGTTGGTGTCCTTCCAGTACCAGTCCATTTGCCAACAAGGGTGATAAATTGAAATCTGAAGCAGCTGCCCTTGAAGAAGGCGAGGTAGTTGATGAAGGAAGTGACTTTGACCATTCTCGGAAGGGATCTGGTCAAGTTATGGATGTTGAGGGCTTCATTGTCAGTCAGCAACATGTGACAGAGAGAGCTCTTATCGAACTAGTTCTTCCGTGTGTGGAACGTTGTTCCGATGAATCACGAAGTAATTTCGCAAGTGAAATGATCAAGCAGGTAATTAATATTGAGCAGCAGATAAATGCAGTTACTCGTGGAGCTGGTAAGCCATCTGAAGCACCTGCTTCTGGGATTGGAAGTCCTGCCACCAATAGAAGTAACAGTCGCAAGGGTGGGATAGGTAGCAGTCCTGGATTACCCAAACAATCAACTGTATCGACTGATACTGTGCCACCTTCTCCTGCAGCATTGCGAGCCTCCATCACTTTGCGATTGCAGTTCCTACTGAGATTACTCCCTATTATTTGTGCAGACAGGTACTTTACTTTCCACTTTACATCTGTCTGCTTATATGTTTTTCCCTTTCGGAGAATGTTGACGTTAATGACTTGAAGTGATCTTTATTTTTCTCTGAATCCTTACTGATCCATCCCCGGTTCCGGTTGCGTAGCATGCCTGATATATACCATTTTCTGTATGTCTGTATTCATTGTTTTTTATATGTCCTTGATAATGTAATTTCTCCAAAGAAGAATGATATGTAGATAATTCATAATCATCTCTGATCTTGGTTTGAGTCTCTTTATTCACCCTGAGCTTTCCTTATATGGCATGGATATCCCTTGAATTCCCAAGTACTCCCTCCTATTGAGATCTGTTGACAGTTATGATGTGAATGAAATTTTCTATTCTAGTTTCTATGAAATGAATATAATCTGATCTTATAGAACCAAGCATATTGTTGCAAGTATTGAAGTTTGCAGCTTGGGGTCACACCAGGTTTTGCACATAAACTATGTCATGATTTACCATTTTAATTTTTCCGGCTTTATTGTAGATCTAAAGTTTGCTTGATATTATTTGTTAGTCACTCTGGATTTTTCGTAGTAGGGTTCAAGAAAAATAGCGAATATATTGCCTAATGGCTTGTAACTATATTATGCAATCTTCCATTTCATACTGTCCAGGGAGACTTCAGGCCGTAATATGAGATATACTCTTGCTTCGGTGATTTTTCGCCTCCTTGGAAGCTCTGTTGTGCATGAAGATGCCAATCACGTTTTTAATTCTACATTGACTCTATCGAAGAGAGAGATGGAGTCTCTTGTGAGGACTTCTACAGCTTCTGAAATTCCTTCCATGGGAAGTCTTTTTGATAGTCTATTATCAGTTTTCCAAGCACTGCTGAGCAACTTTCAACCAAGCTGGCTGAAGCTGAAAACCGATTCCAAATCCAAAGAATATGCTGTTTTTGATCGTGAAGTAGCAGAACGCTTTCAGGTCTGACATTGCCAAATCTTCAAATTGTTTTGTCTGAGGAGTGGGTTGGAAAATAATGTAGTAGAAGTCTACTGCTGTCTTTCCTACTCAATTCCTATATAATTTTTTTTGTACAATATGTTATAATTGATTTATACGTATTTGTAAATGTAAAAGTTATGGCACAGCATATCTGATTCATAATGTATTTGTGCAGAATGATTTGAACAGTATGGAATTGCCCGAGACAATTCGGTGGCGCATCCAAACGGCGATGCCAGTTCTTTTTCCCTCTCCCCGGTTGATGATTTCTTGCCAGCCTTCATCAGTATCACCTTCTGCCCTTGCTTATCTTCAGCCCATCAATCCAATAACTGCATTAAACCCTATCAATTCGAATCTCCCTCCGAGGAGTCCACCTCTACCAGTTCGCACAGGCTCAAATGTGAAAACCAAGGCACTCCCCTTGCAGCATGAAATTGACGTGGAGATAGATCCATGGACCCTTTTGGAGGATGGAGCTGGGTCTGGTCAGCCTTCAGTTAACTCTGCTCTTGTTGGCAGCAGTGATCATGCTAATCTGAAGGCGTCCAGCTGGCTCAAGGGAGCCATAAGAGTGAGGAGGACAGATCTCATGTACATTGGTGCAGTAGACGAGGAAAATTGATTTATAACCGAACTTCATTTTTGAATTATTTTTGAGGAAGAGTTGAGACCCGCTGCAGAAGTATTCGGCTGTGAAAGTACCTTGAGGGCTGGCCTTGTGGCAGGCGGCTAAGGATACTGCTGCAAGGTTCATTCTTTATGCGGGGCCATGTGTTGATGTATGGTGAATACAGTGTTTGCTTGGCTGCCTGTGCTATATGGGGTGTCCGGGCCTGCTCTTTCCTTAACAGTTGATCAATCCCAGTTTCTGGACTGTGCAATTGGTGGGCGCAGTTCAGAGGTTGTTGTATATATCGAGAGGTGTTTCCCTTCCAAAGAGCTGAATAGAATATATATTTTTTCATGTTCAGCTTATATTCCATTACATCTTTAGAAACTGGAGTATTAGTTATGTCTCAAGTTTGAACTGTAGCCTTTCAGATTTAGACAGCTTTTGATAAAAAATTTAGCAGATTCTGATTAATGTAATGAAATGTGTGGTTGAAAAGTTGATAAAAGTTGTGAGTCCCGTGAAATTTGTGTTTAAAATTAATTGTTGACCTTGACCTTAATTTTTTAATGAGTTTTTAAGCTATTACCAACTGAAAAAGGACTCGGTTCATTCTCTTACTTTCGCATATTGCAATTTTTGAAGAATAATGCAGAATTTCTTGTTGAACGAGATACATGTACTACCTGACTTCGAAAGTAAAAAAAGATTGTGGATTCCAAAACAGAATATGAATCTATTATCTTTATTACGTGATGAATTAATTTCAAAACCTCAAATTGGAATTTTGGGCATTAAATATTTCGAGGCATCAGTCTAATCTTGCCTATGGAGTAAACTGATTATGATAATAATCACTATCACTACTACTATAAAAGAGAGGATGAGCCCAACACTGTTCATTTTTGCACTTTCCATTTCACATTTAACAAGTTTGGTTCAGGATTTTCTACAGTGAGATTACTACAATTGTTGACTACTCAATTTTGGTTAAACCGACTTGCCACTGAATTTTTACAAACCGACTTGCCACTGATATACATACAAATCTATTAAAACCAATTGCAATAAAACAGTATCTGATTTCATTTGTAAGAAGACAGTATGTAATTTCATTTCAACCATCAAATAAATTATTAGCTTTATCAACTC